TCCTTCAAAAACACATAAACCTGAAAATAATCATCAATCTCTTACTCGCTGATCTCAGACTCTTCATCAGATGAAATACCCATCGTACTTACACCATAAAAGCAAGAAGGAAGGGTATTTCACTTGATGAAGAGTCAGATCAGCGAGTCAGAGTTTGGTCAGCGAGTTTGGTCACCTGATGTTGCAGACTGGGAAATACAAGGTTTAATCTTTGTTCAGGCAAGAAAAACATGATTACAAGTATAAAGCGTTGATTGGCGTTGATTGCTCATGCTTATACTTGTAATCTTGTTTTTTTTTTCTTGAACAAAATTAGGCTTTGTAGGATGCAAAGACGATGTAGGTTTTTGTATTCAGTTTTTCACATTTGGTTTTTGGTTTTCAGTTTTTGATTTTAGAATTTTGGATATCTTTGTTTGTAATTTTTGGTTTAACCTCAGTTATTTTAAAAAAATATATATTTTTAAATAATAATTACTTTAAATAAGATAATAAATTCCCGTGATTTACGCTTATCCATTATGAATAAAAAAAGAGCCGTCTGCTTGATGACGTCTTCACACGTAACCAGTATAAATGGGGCTATAAATGAGTGCGGATTCTCGATGTAAAACTGGTCCAACTACCAAGTCTTATCAGATGTTAGGGTTGCATATAGGTTATTAAAAAGTTTGTGAAATATTTCCATTAATCACAAAAAAACATAATAATATTAATAACCAAATAAAAACATAATATAAACATACACAAAACATAATAATAAGTTCAACAAAAACTAAAAAAAACATAAAAAAACACAATTATTTAGAGTCAGAGCTTGAAAGGTGATCAGTAAAACAAAATAAACTTGATCTCAAAAACTATATCAGAAACTAATGCTAACAATCCCCACACAATATGGCAACGGCGCCAATTGATAACTAAGGTTTTTAAAGCCTTAGATGGGTTATCAATCCCCTTGTCAAAGTAGTATAAGGGGTGTCAATCCATATGTGTGGTAGTTAGGCACTAGTTTATGTGATAGGTTCTTAAGTCAAGTAATCAAAGATGAGTTTTGTGAAACCAGCAACAAGAAAGCATAAAACAAGAAACAAACAAGCTATGATTAATGAACTAAGCAAGCAAACAAAACAAGATGATGGTGATTAAGCAAATGATAAAAGCTAAACCTCTAGATGTGATCATTGATTAGGGTGCTTTAGATATTGAATCATGATGCTAAGAACATAATGCAACACTTGCTACTCTTTAGTCTAGGCTTCTTAATCAGATTAATTCATTCCCATGACAATAATCCCTTTGCAAATCACTTAATCAAGTCTAACAACCATTAGATATAATCAAGCAATCAGCAAGCATAATGCATCAAGCCTAATAAGTGACCAAACAATCTCTCAACCAAGAAGACTGAATCTTATACAGAAAGACATAACAAGCAATCACATGATCTCAAACATTTCAACTTAGAACTCTAATCTAGACTAATCCTCTCATGAAGGCATTAATCTCTACACTAATCCACTTTCAAACCAAATCATCATTTGTGAAATATGAATCAATGAGCATTAAGAAACAGTTCTAATAAGTCATTCATGCATTTAACAAATCATTCCCATGATGAAAAAGGCATAAACCTTTAAGTTAGCTCATTCAGGCATTTCATCAAACACTTTTGGTGCATGAAATGCCTATGAACCCAGATTTCACTTTCCCAAGGAAATCTGGCATTAGGAGCAACTAACTAAGGAAATGGAATGAGAATCTAAACCCTAAACATCACCAATCAAACATCTAAGCACCCTAATCTACACACCTAGAAGTTTAAAAGATGATTACTCACTAATCATGAAGAACACATCTAATCTTTTGCAAGAGATGATGTTAATCATGATTAGAAGTAGAAATGAGATGATGAGATGATAAGAAACAGACTTGGAATGATCAAATCCCTTCAGATATCTCTTAATCAAAAACGTTTTTACCCTCAAAAGGAAAGAAAACTAGAGAGAAAACTAAGTAGAAGATAACATACTTGGGTTTTTCTCCCAAAAAACTATATATACCTAGTGCTAATGGACCGGGTCAGCCCATGACAAACTGGGTACTGACCCGGCTCAGTTGGGTCAAGTGGAAATCCTGCGGGTCAGTCCAGTATGTCCCAGGTCGCACACCTAAGTCGCAGTAGATGAAGACTTGTCTTGTGAAGCCTGAATCGCCTTGTCTTAGCCGCACGCCTAAGTAGGAGTGTTTTGCGAGTGTTGCTGCGGCTTGGTCTCCTTCCTCTCCAACTCGCAGGGCTAAGGCGGTTTCTGGGGAATGTACAAACTGTGCGGGTTGGTCTCTATTGCACCTAGGTCGCAGGCTCAAGTCGGAGTGATTTGCGAGTGTTGCTGCGGCTTGGTCTCCTTCCTCTCCAACTCGCAGCATCCAGAGCAGCTTAGACCACTTCGCATTCCGGAGAGTGTAACTCCTATGAGACTTGTCCGAATTGAATGATTTCGGTTGCAGAAGACAGAGGACTCATTTATCTCCAACTTTTGTGAAGAAAGCTTCGGTGCTTGGGAAGTGTAAGGCTTCCTGGAGGGCACATCTTTGCAGTGCATGTACACGACCAGAGAGAGGCGTCTAGACATGTGTCCATTCCGGAGACTGTATCTTTCTTCTCATAGATCCGAATTGAATGCTCTTGGACGTTCTGGAAAGAAGGCTCAAATTTCTATGGTTCTCATGAAGGACCCGGAAACTAAATCGGCCTGGAAGTGCACCGTCCTTCGCATCCTTTAGAACTGATCTGCTCGGTCCGGAATACCTGCGAGACTGGGGTTCCTTCCGACAAGCTTATCTCTCTGCTCACGCGTCCGAATTCCACGATTCTACTTGCTAAGAGACCGTGATGCAATGCTCTCCAACTTCTATGAAGCACCCGCCGTCTGAATCGGACCGGAAGGCTCCCCGGACAGGCGATCATTCAGGGGTATCGGATTGCTCCGGAATGAGTGCGAGACCTGTTCGTCTTCCGATTACCATATCTTTCAGTTCTGTGGTCCAAATGCCTTGATTCCAACTGTTATGAACTCTTGACTCAATTATCTCCAACCGTTATGAAGACTCCGACAGCTAAATCTGACCGGAAGGTTCCCCGGACAGGCGATTTTGGAAACGTGTCTGCACCCAGAGATTTTGGCCGAGAGACTTGACCGCGGTACGTGTTATTGGCCGAGAAAGCTACCCGCGGGAAGGATTTTGGTCGAGAACCTTCGACCTTCAGTACACCATTTTGCCGAGAAACCCAAAATTGCTCCTTTTCACCATTTTTGATCATTCCAACTCCATTTCTTCATCTGAATCACATCATCCACTCCAAATTGGCTCCAAAAGCACCTGTTTAACACTCCAAAACATGCAAAACTCTCTTGGACCTAATGCAATCTCCTAAGTCCTAAAACAATGCCTAAAGACCTAAAATGCATGCAAATGAGACATGATTTTGACTAGAATATGTACATTAAATGATGCAATTTATGAATATATCACCTCCCTCACGACGTCGCCTTCCGCCACCAGCGGATGCAATAGCATCTGGGCCAGACTCATCAGCATCTGGGCCACAGATGTCGCGATGCACCATGTATCAGGCATGAGCATCGGATGAAAGATGTTGCCACGATGGCTCACATTGGGGTGGAAGATGGGGGTCTGGAAGTGCACCTTCGGTGGCTTCCAGGGGAAATCCGGAGGGAAGATGATGCGGAGAAAGAAGACACCCCCTTCGTAGGGAGTTCCCGGCGGACCGGTGATGGTCGCCGCCCACACATACACGTCCTCTGCCTCCACCCCGGCGGAGTATATGGGCGACAGGTTTGGCTGGAGGTCAAGCAGGTATCGGCGCATCCAGTACTCGAGACGTGTTGATGACGCCGGACGAATGTTGTGAGCAAAGTGGGCCATTTGGGGAAATTAGGGTTTTGAGTTAGCAAAGGGAAAGATAAGATTATTTTTTTTGACGTTTAGGGAATGTTTCTTTCTCTGCGATGGTGTTATGAGAAGGCGAGGGTGTGGTATTTATAGAAGAAGAAGTTAAGCGGTGGCATGCATTTATGGCGTCGTCTCACTATGGGATTTCTCTCACTATACAAATGCTGCCTTTCTCTATTCTCACACGCGTCGTTTTAGATAACATAATTTAATAACGACAAGACAGTTACCCAACAACCAAAGAGCAGCAATATTTTAAACCGACTAATACCAAACCAAAATCCTCTAATTAAATATAAACTGATTCTTATAACAATAACAAAACAATATCCTCAAAATAAATTTAAATTTTGCAAACAACACGATCCCACAATTTAGTTCTTAAAAAAACCATAAATTCAAATAGATAGCGTGATAGAGTGAACATCCGGGACTGTTAATTCCTACTCTTCTTCTTCTTCTTCTCATGCTGCACCTCCCCTTCCTCGGCTGAAACACCAGATTGTTCCTACATGGTAACAAAGATATGTGGTTTATACTATAGTTCTACCTATTAGTATCAACTAATTCCTATTACTACCAAATAATACCTATAAGTACCAAATAATACCTGAATTCCAGTCCGTTGTCTGGTCAAATACTTTCTGACAACCGCTGCCTTCATCTTCGTCTTCTTCTTTTCCTTCTTTGCCACCTCACCTCACACTTCTTCATTCTCTTCAACTCTTTCTTTATTCTCTTCTTCTCCTTTTTTTCCTTCTTCTCCCTCTTCTCCTTCATCACCTTGTTCTTCTCCTTCATCACCTTGTTCTTCTCCTTCATCACCTTGTTCTTCTCCTTCCTTCTCTTCTCCAAGACATTCACTTTGAATTGCCTCTTTCACATATGATTCAACGGACTTCAATCTAATATCCATGCCATTGATGTGGTCTCTCATTAGTTGGACTGCTCATCCATACTCTTCTTCAACCCTTGAATCTGGTCCACAATCCCACTCGGCGCTGGAGATTTAGAGGAGGCATTCTTCACTGGTTCAACTCGGTTTTTTCATCGTCCAAGCTCATATCCTTCCAGAATATCGGCTTCCCATCATCAATTATACGACTCGTCCAAGTATCAGGAATTGTATCACTGTTATCTGGGTCTTCATACCTTTCCATGATACCAGCTAACATATCTTCCTCATCAGCAGATGGTTCCAAGATACTCTGGATATCTTTGGTATTACCGAGTGTTTTGTAGAGGTCCGACAGAGGAAATCCTTTGAGAGTGAATGGTCTGAACTTTGTCTTACACATCCGAGGACACTCTATGTCTGCTCCTTTAGCTTCTTCTCTGTATATGTCCTTCAGACAAGGTATTGCTTCAAAAGGTAGCAACTCCAAGGGAGTAACAAAGCCAGGAAATGTCCAAGAATCTGTTTCGACGACCCCATTGAAGTGCCTCAATGTATGTTCAATTTCCTTTAGATTCGCATCAAATGAATACCTCCCCCAAGGAAATCTTCTACACGCATCGAGATCTTCTACCATCCTCAAGAATAAAGGGTCTACCGAGGGAGCTCCCTTACCAGTCTTAGCCTTACCACCTAACACGCTTGCTAGAAAGTACAAAACACACATTCTTAAGCGATCAGGACCACCACGCATCTTTTCAAGCTTCTCTTTAACAACAGCAAGTGCAGGGACAGTTCCTTTCTTAAAATACTTCTCCTTAAAATCACTACTGCCCATCTTCTCATAATTCTTTGGATAATCATGGCAGTCTAATCCAGATATGAGTGCATGTTCCTTAAGCGAATACCGAATTGGAACTCCATTAACAACAAACCAACACTCTCTCCTCTTGTTTGTCTTTGCTGTGCGTAGAAGGAGCGTCCACAACCCCTGAGTTTTATGAGTTGTATCCAAATACATGGCCTTGTACATATTCCAGAAGTGCTTGAATTGAGGATGCTCGCTAAACCATCTTAGCTCCTCGGGTCTCAGTCCCAGTGACGGCGACTCCAGATTCTCCACTGCGTTGTGGATCCAGTACCCAACTTTATTGCCTTGTTGTACTGATTTGGACTAAAATACATACTCAGTGGTTGTATTGGCGGCTGGTTTTCCTCATCATTACGCGTTTGCTCACTACGCGTTTGCTCCTCAATCTCACTACGAAAGCGTAATGGCTCCCACAGCGTTAATTGAAGCGACTCACTATCTCCTCCGAATGATGTCATTACAGTAAGACACATCTAATTATCACCGGATCCACACATCAATCAAAGTGAACTGAACTCAAATTTTGCAGGTAATATTAATTTCAGTTCCTCATTCCTAAACCCATGTATCAGACACTACAGATTCATTCGTAAGCCTTCTGCCTAAGATAATCTACAATAAAACGACAAAAACGAAGAAGAAACGAAGAACGAATTTGATGCGAATTTGAAGATTGTGATCAGTTTAGAAAATTTAAGATTTTTCGTAGTATCTTCGTAGTTGTACCTAATGGAACGAATTTTCCAGAAATGATTTACATTCGAATTTAGGATTATTTAAATTTAGACCTGAAATCAGATTCGGTATAGCTAACTGGGTGTGGATATTTGATTCATGACTATTTGGATCAGTAAATATTTTAATGTTTTAAAGGTGACTGAGTATTTTCTCGCTTTTTGATTTAAAATAATTTAAAAATAAATTAATTTTTATAAAGCTAATATATGAGAATAAATTGAGTATATGAAGATTTGATTCAATTAATTATTAGAGTTTTGGCTTTTCAGCATATTTCTTCACCAATTATGACTTTTCAGCCGCCCGCTCGCGTGGACAGAACCCTCGACTTTCTGCAGAAATCGCAAACTTCACCATTCATTTCTTGAAATTCATGATTCTTTTTTTTGCTTATACAGATTTTTTCATCTCGACTTTGATCTTTCTACATCTCGGTTTATGAGGTAAGCCTTAACACTCTTGTGCGTTTTCTGATATGATGACGAATCTGCTTCTGCCCAATTTTGTTTCCTCATTAAAATATTGATAGGTCGTCTTGTGGACACAGATCTCTTTTCTTTTTTTTCGATTTTGCGTTTGAAATCTCTACTGATTATTTTTCCTTTCAGTCTTGGTTATTCGCTGTTCTTGATTGAATTTGGAGGTATTTTGTATCTATTAATTAGGGCTCTTGAAATTTTGGATCACTGGAACGAAATCCTTTTCGACTGCTAGGGTTTCTTTTGGCTTAAAAAAGGATTTTTTTCTTTTTCTTTCCTTCTCTCTGTAAGTAGCTAATCAATTTTATGATCTTTCCGTGCAGCTCGAAGGAGAAACCCACTCTCGGGTAAGTGATCTCAATATCTACATTTTGCTTATTAAATTTAACTCAAATTTGAATCTTTTCCACATTTATATTTTTTTTTGTATTATTGAGCGGTTCGTAAATGTTCTTTCTCTCTATCTCTGTCCATGGGAGTTGAAAATGTATGTGTTTTGATGTTAATGATTAGTCTTAAGCTGTGGTAGAGTGTTTTAAAGTATGTTGAAATGAAATGTGAGTGACTCTTTTGAAATGAAATGTGAAACCAATGAGTTTATTGTTAGAGAAATATTTAGTGCACATTAAGTTTAGAAACTGCTTGCCTTTAATATAGTTTTTTTTTTTATGTGTAGAGGTACGCGGATTAAGACCCGCAAAAGGAATATTGCTCCTCCTCTGGACCCTGCAGCTTTTTCTGATGCAGTTGTCGTAATATATCTAGATAATGCTGGTGATCTGGTACTTCTTTTGTGTTCTAGTATTTGTATTTTGTCTTATGTCTTAAATTGCTTGTAAGAGTATTGCACCTTAGGAGCTTGTTGCTAAAGATGGTGTACTAGGAGAACTGCATCATTAGTTTGTGTTCTTCACAGTCTCGTGGATGTTTGATTTGCTTCGATACAAGGGAGACTAGTTTATGTTTTCTTGTATCGAGTGACTTTTTGTTTTGCTTATCTTTCCCGAGATTATTAATTGATGGATCTCTCTGATTTAAGGTTGTTTTCATTGGAGGACGTACACAAACTTGTTCAGTGAAATCTGATGATGGAGAATGCCATCCTTACTCTATAATCGACTGTGAACCAACGCGAGAAGCTATTTTACCTTCAGTTGTATACATACAGAATATTTTGCGGAGGAAACCCTTCCTTATAAAGAACCTTGAAAACGTTACGCGGAGGTTCTTGCAGTCGCTGGAGCTTTTCGAGGAAAGTGAGAGAAAGAATCTTGCAATATTTACAGCGTTCGCGTTTTCCCAGAAGCTCTCGGGTTTACCTGCAGAGACTGTCTTCCAGCCATTGCTTGAAGATAATCTCGTTGCCAAAGGGATAGTACTCACTTTTGTAACAGACTTCCTCAATGAATATTTAGTTGAGAACAGCCTTGATGACTTGATTGCTATTCTGAGGCGTGGCAAGATGGAAGACAAACTCTTGGATTTTCTGCCACCCACAAAGCGAACTACTGAAAGTTTTGCTGAGCATTTCACGTGAGTTTCTATTGCTTGAAGTTTCCTGCATTAGTCCACTTGTACAGCTTCCTTGCTCTTCGGTTTCCATCCATTTCTCTTTTTTTTTTTTTGTCATTTAACATCGATACAAATGCCATTGCTAAGATAGAGTTAGTGAGAACGATTCTAAGTAGTTTAACTTTTTTTGTGAACATAAGTAGGTTAACTTTTGTTGATAATTTGTTGAGTTCAACAATTCCCAGGTCATATGATTAACATGCATTGTCAAGAATATTCTATAATTTACTCTTCCATCTGTGTCCTGATTCTATTTTCTTTTATCAGTTGCCTTCTCTGCGTTTTTTACTCAATATCTACATTGATTTTTTGTACAATATTTTTCCTTGTGATTTTAACAGCAAGGCGGGATCAAAGCGGTACTTACAGGCCAAGTGACAGAGGAAACTGACATAGATGAAGTGATTGAAACAATGAAGCAACAGGTGAAAGATGCTAAACTGCCAGAGATTGATGTCGTACGTGTGATCTGGGACGAAATAATGGATGCTGTTCAATGGTCTGGGAAAAAGCAGCAGCAAACTCTGTACTACGTCAAGTTAGTGTTTGACTTTAGAGTTATTGGAAGTATCAAAGCAAGATTAAGGTTCTTTCGGTCTTGAAGCTAAGTTGTTGTTGTTGTTGTTGTTTGGTAAGGCTCCGCTTCTTAACACATTCTGTAGCAGCGGGAAAATGGAGATGCAACTGATGTACAAAGTACATATGCAATGCTATGAGGATGCAAAGCTGATGAAAGTGTTTCCTGAGGTAGTGATGTCACTGTATGAGCTAGATGTTCTTGCTGAAGACACTATTCTTCATTGGTATCGAAAAGGAAGCAATCCTAAGGGCAGGTAACTGTTTTTCTTTTTCTAGGAAAAAATGGTTGTTTTTATTAATAGGATTCACCCCTTCCCTTTACCTCTTTAGTAATGTTTTGTGTTGGTTTTGTAGGCAAACGTTTGTGAAGGGATTGGAGCCGTTTGTGAATTAGCTGGAAGAAGCTGAGGAAGAAGAGTGAGACACAATCTGCTGTTTTCTTCCTCTCTTCTAATAAAACACAATCTTTGATTTTCTTAATGCATTTTGAGAAAATTTTGTTTGAATGGATAATTTGCTTGTTTTAGTGGGTTGTTTGTTTCTTTAACCTTTTTTGAGTTAAAAGGTTCCAAAAAGAAAAGAAATCTGAATAATTTACTCACAAAATTAAATTACTATCTCTTTACTAAATACAGCAAGAAAACCTTATCCAAAAAGTAGGGTCTTGATTTAAAAACCACAAAAAGGGGCAAGGAAGAAATGAGAAACTCGCGTGTACATCCATTAACCCCTAAGCCACACAATAACGAATCATAATGGAAATAGACTCCAATGACTACTTCCTGCTCTCTCCTCCATGCTTCTCCTCCCTCCGCCGCCCTTCTTCGGCGCTTCCTCCACCGGTCTTGGTCTTCCTCCAAGGTCCACCACCGTATTTCTCGAGGTACATTCCTTTTGATTTTTGGAATCTTCAGTGTTTATATGTGATCTTGTTCAATTTTAAGCGATGATTCCAAACTCTCTTTAGCTGTACCACTTACAAACTGTTTTCAAAAAAAATTTCAGTTCACATGTTTTTGTTCATCTTCTATTTGAAGCATTTGGTTAGATACATGGAACCCTGATGTCACATAACATTAGTCTTTTTACCTTCTTTCTATTTGACTTATATGTCCTAGTAACTTTGTTAAGGAGCAACCATAGGATCGGAAGAAAATCGCAAGCATTAGCATTGAGTTAAACACCACATTTAGCCCATGTACAATCTTCAAGAACATAAGATTTACTTTTGCTACGTTTCTGAGGTGTGAGCACAAAATGAGAAGCAAAAGAAACGCTTGGTAGTAATTGTTCAAGACGATTTGATGCATTTAGCCTTTTTTGGTATGATTTCTTCAAGATCCACTCTGGATCATTCAAGAATGTTCACTCATTAATGTTCTTTGTTGAATGATACATCTGCTATTGATTTATAACAGATTGTAAATTTCCCAATGTACTCTATCTTACTATGTAACTATCTCCTCGTTTTTTTTTTTTTTTATCTCAGTCTTGAATAATGCCAGCAGGACTGAAGTATCCATTGATAAATCAGAAGCAGACAAGCTTGTTGATAAGATTGATTTTGGGGAGCTATGCAATGAATTTGAGTGCACAAGTAGCCCGCAGGTCGAATCCACTGCCAGACAACTTGCTCGCGATATTCTTGAACTCAGGGAAGGAAACCGCGCCTTTGCGTGCTATGCAGTTTCCGTTAGATATAAGGTACATTTTTCGTCACATTATATGTTACAAGCTCATATCTATTTGTGCTAAACGTAGTACTACTTTTTATTTCGTGAGTAAATTCTTCCAGCTTCAAGCTGTCTAGAACAAATTCAAAACTAGCTAGAATGAGATAGCTCTTACATTGAAAAGAGAAGAAGCTTTTTTTTTCTAGTTAAATGATCCTACATATGTTTGGTGAAAAGACATTATGGCTAATAAGCTAATGGATGAAGGAAAATATAGGTTTTAGACATTTTGGCCGCGTAAAATTGATTTTGCTCGAACAGTACAACAGTTGTTTTCATCATTTCTCTCTTTTGGTCTTATGATATTCCTTGGCAATAAGTAAATATATCGTGATTGATAGTGATTGCAGGATGCGATTAGATGTTTTACAGGCCGTGAGAAGTATAAAAGACCACTGTGGATAACTAATGGGTTAGAGAATCCCACCGTGGTGAGAACCAATCTCGACCTTTAACATTTTTTTTTTGCATTTTCTAACCATTATAGTTACAAGAAATGTGTTTTTCTCCTTCTTATTTGTGTATTTATGGCATTTATCTGTAGACAATACAAGAGATGGTAATGTTATCAACCAGTGTCTTGCGTATTAGATGGACAGTCAAAGGAAAACCAAAATCTATTCTTGCTACTGTGAGTGGAGATCTGATCATCAAAGTCAAATCTGAGTTTACTCTTAACCAGATTAGTGGCCAAGTGATTGAGCATGAAGAGTATTGGGATTCATCTTCATCGTCCCCTATTGCTCAAGCTTATTTCTGGACATCCCGCCGCCTCTTTGCTTCTTCTGAATCCACAAAAGACTTGGTCGATGCCACGAAAGACATCACAGCCAGTTTCACAACTCGGGGAGAAGATACAGAGATATATCGTGATCCAACCGATCCAACTAAGGTCAGTTTCCACAAACACTAACTGTTTTTCATAGTTCTTTCTTGAACCATAACGTAGGTCTCACAAACCCGAGACACACTAGACACAAAAGGCTATATAGTCCGATCTCTATGTTTAAACTAAAATAATGTTGTAATGATGCAGTATTTCCAAAGAGACGACAGCTTGGAGAGAGATGTGTATCAGATTGCACTGTTTCTTGCAATTGTCTACTTTGTTGTACAGTTCTTGAGGAACACCCTCTAATTACACCCCCTCTCTCTCATCTCTCTATAACATATAATGTAAATGTCTATATATTGTTGTATATGATCTGTATAAAAAAACTGAACAACAAATTGAGAAGTGTGTTTGTTGAGATGAACTTTTTACATCATTTCATCTTCTTTCAGCATTCATCACCAAAAAAATATGCTCATATAATCAGATGAGCGGTCTTTCTAATGAAGTAAAAGCCACTGCCATGAATGTCGACAAAATTGTAAGAAGCTTTCCGATCATCAACAAAGGAGGAGCCGATGAGAGGTTGTCTGCTCCGACCGAGTAAACTCCTCCTGATCCGTCTTTTACTTTGATGCTTGATGAACCTTAAAACATGAAACCATTTGTTTGTAAGACAAAGAAAGGATGAAGAGTGAGTTTGGTTTGCTATCTTTTTGGGTTCTTAGAGATACTTACAGTTATGGTCTGCCCATCCAATCACCTCGTTCTCCAGATCGTATACTACTAACTTGTTCGAGAGCACCATATCTACAAAATGACTAGTCCTAGTTATATTATAAAACATGACAGACCAAAACGAGACACACATTATTGAGGTTAACTGCTACAATCTAGCATCTTCAATGTTTATGTGTGCCGTTTAACTCAATAGTGAGCAATATCGAAAGAAAGATTTCATTAGAACTTTGAAGTTTACCTCCCAAGAGAATCACTTCTGATCTATCTTCAGTTGTCATTCCACCAATTTGCCAACCGAAGCAATACATGTTTTTCTATTGGCAAATGAGTGCACAAGAGTTATATTTCTGGAATAGTGAACATTCAAATTGAACTACGAAAATACAGAACAGAATTGGTATGACTACAAAATCCTAATCAATCTTGATAAGAAGTTTAACAATGTTGTTGGAATCTGGCAAGAGCTGCCCTATTGGCTTTGCTTACCTCAAGTGTAAATAGATAATCATGCGGATAAACAGTTAGTTTGAGAGAGTCCTCAAATTGAAAATTTACTGGTGGGAATGACTGGTCCACACTGCATGTTCAAGGAAGAAGAAGATCTTAGCATACAACAGAATGACTGATAGGTTCAAGCTAGTTTCAGAACAGCTTATAGATTTTTTGTTATTCCACAAGACTGATAAACACATACAATGAATTCGAGATTGACGCATGCTTATACAAATACATAGTGACATAGAAGTTATGTAAGCAAGATGAATATTTCTTAATCAAGACAATACACACACACACACATACAAGTTATCGAAAACAAGCCACTGATTCATAATTTGGTATCAAAGAAGAAACACGTTAGGGTAAAAAAGCATGCCGTCTTACTCTTTACTGAAGCTGAAACATTGGAAAGTTTCTTCTACTATGTGAAGTTTTACGGGTTGACGAGCAGTGATCTACACAGCAAAAAAGTCATGCTAGGATTGTGATTCACAATTTCGAATATAAACTCAACTTGGAGCAGAGAAAGTTACCGTTTCTATTAGGGACTCGTAAAGTGCCCTTGGTAAGTAAGCCAAAGTTGTACCACTGTCAATAATGGTTCCTCCGTCCCTGACAAGACTTGGTGGAAGAACCAGAGGAGCACCATCGACATCCATCTCCGTCAACATAACGTTATAATGCATCCTAAAAAATTTCCAGCAACGCATGTTATCACAAAATTCATGAGTCAAGAACACCCCTAATAGATATAAACATGTCTTAAGTCTTAAAGTGCACTAAAGATAATATCAAACCAGCTCAATGGACCGGTGAAGAAACTTCCAGCTCATATTGGCACAACCAAGAATTATGATCAGAACATACTAGACAAATCTATGAAATTACGGCATATATCAAGAAAGCTGTTCAATCTAAAGGATGAACTTGCACAATTTATAAGCAACATAAGGTAAATGACTTGAGAAGACATCACGTACTGATTAGGTACCATAGGAGTTGTTTTAACAGTTGGAGAATCCACTACACCAACAGCAAAAATCCCACCTCCTTTGACATTATCCAAGCAATGCGAAAAAACTCTTTTTGCGTCCCCTGTGGCAGCTAGTTGTGAAAGCACAGAGGTATTTGCTTGTCCAAATCCCATAACACCATCAACTGCTGACTCAGAATTCCCAAGTTGTCCAGATTGATCACTTCCACACCTGTCTCAAAGAGGAGTCCTTGTGAGAAAACACAAGAAGACTTAAAAGTTCACTTCACAAAATATAATTCAATACATTTTAGCACGATGTCACATTAATGCCAAAGCTCTCAAAGATCCCAAAATCACAAATAGCAATGATATGGATGTAGCGCATACACAAAAGCATCATATTGTCAACACAATTCATAAGAATGCATTCTTTCATATGATCAGGTAACATAGAAGCTAGATATTAAGCTCTCACCCGAATACAATTTCCTGACCAAGTGGTCCGGTTTGTAGATCTCCGGTAACTTGTTCGAGTGTTAAGTTATCTCTGATAAAGTTCCCTTCACTTGTGCTTTCGTCTGCGTAGACAATATGATAACTACATCCAACAGCGGGCTGACAACTATCGGAATTCGCTATGAAAGAACAAAAATCATCTTCACAGCCAACCTTCTTAGAAGTTGAGGAAGCTTTCGCATCATACAACGATAAACTGAACTGCATTGGCCAAAAAAAAAAAAAAAAAGAAAACAAAGATGATCCAAGCTGAGAGCTGGAGGACAATAGACGTCAAGAAAATGAAGCAAGGAGAAGAGCGTTTACACCCAAATTAGTTTTCGAGGGACATTTTGGGCACGGAGCGCAGTTGATCCATAGAATATCACTTCCTGTATCAACTTGAACATGATATTCCTTTGGTGGCGACCCGAGCTTGATTCTAGTGAAGTATAAACTGAAACAAAAAGTAACCAAATTAATTTAACTTCATGAGTACCTATACTTGCGCATTGTCTTCCCAAATGATTTCATTTCATACATAATACCACGTCGTATCAACTAAACAAAAATTCACCATTACAAGCATTTTACGAATCATGGAGTTCTAACTCAAAACTGTAATCGGCAATTAGTGGAGATTGGTATGTTCATTACATAGTATGTTAATTAGTAAAATATAATACAATTTTAGAAATTATGGGTTTCATACTCAAAACCAATTGATAATTGCGACCGAGGTATACGTTCATTATATTGTACTATGTTAGGTCTAAGACTTTCGATGTGGGAGATTCTAATGGACTTTCTAATTCACATTGTTCGAATTTAAGACGGCCTCAAAAGAGAGGGGGATAAGAACAAAACCCGACAGAATCTACGCGGCTGTCTCCGCCGAGAGGGAGATCAACGGACGCAAGCATCCGAGAGTGGCGGCGTGTGTCGTGAGACTTGAAATGAGCAAGTTTCTTCTCTTTCCCTGCGAACTTGTGTTGTACCTTAAACACGAAATTGCATGATGCAAATTCGATCACAATTATGAAAACTGCCACCGCAATGCACAACTTTCTCCTCAATTCCATCGCCATGCACACTGTTTCTCCGGCGACAATTTTGATAGATTATTTGGATTAATATATTAAAAATTCCAGTGATCTTTGTTCATATTCAGACAAAGGAAGGAGAGAGTAAACGGCAGAGAAAACGCAGAGACGCGCTTTCAAAGGCGGATATAGTAAAGAGAATTGCCAAATGTGATGTTTTATATTTTTGTTTTTAAACAGCTAAATGCTTTTATTTTAAAACCAATGCTTTTTTTCTTCTATTGAACCAATGCTTAGATTAGTAAAGAAAAGAGTAATTGCAATTTCCTTATTTGTTGCCTTTGTTTTGTGTTGTTCCAATTTCCGTTTCTAATTAGTAACGCATCCTCTTTTGTGACAAATTAGAAACGGTAATCAACACTATAATTTTATAATTGCATTTTCTGGGGATGACAACTCACCTTTTTGTTAATTTTAGTGTTGCCACATTAATAAATGAAAAATTAAGAACATTAATGAGAACGTTCCTTTAATACACATCTAAATTAATTTGACACATCAACAACCTTTGATTCAATCGCTGCAACGAAACTAACAAAAATCAATTTCATTAAATTTCTCTATCCCTGCACATCAAACAGCAAATAAAATAAGTGTAAAGAGCTCGCATGATTCACATTGAAAGGGAAATGACAAGATAGAACAATATTTGATAGGGTGACGAAGGAGATGGAATTGGAGAAAAAAGCATCTTTTGAAATTCTTTTGACTGGTGACTGTGGCTGGAGGCAGCGGCTGTTCAAAATTAGCAACAAAAAGTCGAGCAAAAGAAAAGTTGTATTATAGTGACCACGACTGTGAAATCCCAAATTTAGGGTTGAGGTTATTTTTTTTTTTCCCAGCGACTCGATCTTTAAACATTTTTCTTTAATTTTTACAAATCCTTAAAGTTATAGAGAAAAAAAGTCATAAATGTTAATAAGAGTAATTTAGTATTTTTGCTCGATCCCTCCCTATATAAATGTCAGCCATTTTTTTCTGCTACAAAGAGTTAACGAAGTGAAACTAAAAAAAAAACCTCTATAGCATCAGTTTAAAATTTGTCCAAGTGAGGGTTTTGCTGAGTTGTTTGTCAGCAACTCAGATCGATCTTTATACCTCTGGAAAGATCTCACTGAAAGAAATCCATAGCAGTTTTTATATCATAAATCCGAGGTAAGTTCCATTTTGTATGCGAGCTCAAAGTTGGCGAAAAATTATTTTTTCTAGTTTCGCAAAGCTAATTTCGAGAAATGTTTTGCCGTCGATCTTAAAAAAACCCAGATCACGGTCTACCCATCAGTTTGAAGCTCTTGCATCCAACCTTTCAGATCAAGTTTCACATTTTAATTCTAAGGTGGGATGCGAAAGTTATGGGCTTGCCTTCTCGACCAAGAAACAGCTTAGTCATGCAAATCTGAAACCCTTGTTTATTGTTTTGTGTGTATCGCAGACCTTGGGACGCATATTCTAACCAGTTTCTCCAACGCACCGTATCTTCAACCACAAGGGAAATGTGAGGCGGGACTTGTGGATCTATAGGTTGTCTTAGACATAGTTGTATATGTGTGTTCTGAACCTAGAATAAGAGATTGATTGGTAATAGAAACGAATATGAATGATTTTTTGAGAACTGTTGTATGTATTGTTGATTGGTGTTAGTTTAGACGTGTAAGAGCGCATGATTGATCCTGGCCTATGGACGGATTGCTTGCTGGTCTTCACGAAAGACGTTTCGCGAAGTGGGACCATGGCTGGACCATACACAGAGGAAGTATGGCCAGTACAGGGACTGATGGGCCTGTGAGATTTGTGGCTGATGAGTCACCAAATTTAAACAGTGTCATGTTCTCGTGAGTGGGAACTTGTGTGCTATATTTTCATGTACTTGTGAAAGATTTATGATTGTTGTTCGTCTAATCTTAGGTTAAGTAAACATATATGTGGTTATGTTAAATTCTTCGTATAGATCAAGTGAACAGGTAGGATCGTTCTCACTGAGTAGTTTGTTATCCCCCCCTCTCTCTTCTTTTTCAGGTGAGACCTAAGAGTATTAGGTGTAGTGAATGATGCGGTGTTGCTTTTGGGGACATGGGCACATTTTATTTAATTATTTTTTAAAAGAATTTTAATTATATTTTCTTTAGTTTTTCTTTCAATATTTAAAATTTGATTTACTGTTAAGACGTTTCGAGTTTCGAGTTTATTTTTTTCTAATAAAGTATTTTAGACAATAAATGAGTATTTAATGAGTTTGTTATTAAAAAAAACCGTTAAATAAATGTAAATCAAGTTAGGTTAATTTGCAGGTTTATGGTGTCTCAACCACCGTCCGGTGACACAGATCTCACCATGCTCAAATAATGTTAATTTACCGCACTCCGCATCTTTCAAGGTTTGGTCTCTCAAATCCTCTACGCCATCAACGACTTTGTTAAATCCTTTCCATGTTAAGTAATTGTTTCATGCCCTATACTTGTCTCTAGATCTAACAAGAGGATGTTATGTTAGTGTGTTTTGTTGTAACTTCTTTTTATATAATATTATGCCATTTCTAAGTTTTTTTGGACTCTGTCTTTGAAATCTTATTGGTCGTCTTGGTGAAAGTTCTTTAGTGTCTATATTGATATCTTATATTGACATTTCGAAGAACAAAACATGGAGAAATCATTGACAAAGGTTAGATGCATAGAGCGGTCATGAGGCAGATCTAAGTGAATCTGAAGCTGGAAAATTTTGTAAGATGTATCATTTCTTTTGTAACCTGCAACATTTGGAGGTGTAGTGAGAGTTTTATGCAGAAGCTTGAATGTCGAACAAATACCTTCACCCGATTTAGCGATGACTATGATTTAGTATGATCTGAAAACGGATGCAGAGATCGGGGAAGAGATCAGATATAGAAATCAACCACTTAACACTGTTCAAATGTCCTTCCAATTGATCTCTCCAAGCTTTCTCTCTCTAAAAAATGTTTTCTATCTCCTCTGTAATTTTTTTGTTACCAACAATCACAAATGATAACACCGGTTTTTGACCATTTTTATGGATCACTTTACTATCTGTTTGCAGGTGTTTTTACGTCGTTTTCAAATGTTTTCAAAGAATTTCTATGTTTTTGGATTTTAAAAGATTTTTCAAGTAACGTAGGAAAAATAGATGCAAATTGGAACAAAAGAGCACTTTTAGATTAATTCAGATTATTAGAACTCTCAAGGAGAGACAAAGACATTCTCACCGTCTGATCATCCCCAAAATTGGGTACTTAACAGAAGACTCAACCAGCTTTCAAATATAATTGGTTTGGAGACATTCCAACGGTTGGATCTAAAGATATTCCAGTTTTCCCAGGGACAACTGAAGACTGCCTCGAAGCCACGCGACCGCGGCCAGGACCATGCGACCGCGGCCAAGCCTTCCTATTCCACGTTCATGCCTCATGCGACTGTAGCCAGCTATGTCTGAATCACAAAGCCCAATTCTGAAGCCCAAATCAAAAGGCCGACCTTAATTCTGAAGCCCTAGACGTCCTCGAGTATTGAAGACTCTATATACTTGTCAATTAGGTCATTTTTTAGGTATCACTTTCATGTTTTTTACAGAGACAACTTTCTTAGCCGTTTTTAGTGATTTGTAGAGAAGATTTCTTAACCTTGGATTCATCAGTATAAAAGCTTTTCTTCATCTCTTTTCTTTATTGTTTTAAATTGCTTTCATTAAAACCAACGATGATGGCAACCTCAACTATGTCTGAGTAGATCCCGAGTTGGACATAGGGTTCCCGAAAGGAGCTCTTATAATCGATTAAGACATCTAAATTTTTTAGATCTGGGATTTTATTTATGTTCTTCGTTTATTCTTGTTCTTAAGGTTGGTATGCTTGATTGATCAGGTACTTAATGAGCTTAACGGCATCTAAAAATCTAGATATGTACCTTATGGATGTTGTGACTGCATATCTATATGGATCACTTGATAATGACATATATATGAAAATCTCAGAGGGAATAAATATCCCAGAAGGATCAAAGATGCCTGAAGCATCTAAAGATATATGTTCGGTCAAATTACAGCGATCACTTTATGGATTAAAACAATCCGGATGCATGTGGTATAATCGCTTGAGTGAATACTTGTTGAGTAAAGGATACATCAACAATGCGATATGCCCTTGCGTGTTTATTAAGAAATCCTCATCAGGATTTGTGATCATTGCTGTATATCTTGATGAATTGAACATAATCGGAACTTAAAAGGAGATTGATCATGCAAGAACTTACATGAAAGAAGAGTTTGAAATGAAAGATCTTGGAAAGACAAAATTTTTTCTAGGGCTCCAGATTTAGCATTTCCATGACGGAATATTTGTGCATCAATCAAATTACACCAAAAGGGTGTTAAAACGCTTTAAAATGGATAAAGAAACTCCTTTGAATACTCCAATGGTCAATAGATCACTTGATATTAACAAGGATCCATTTCGACCTTGTGAAGATAGCGAAAACGTATTAGGTCCTAAAGTATCTTATATGAGCGCTATTGGTGGGCTTATGTATCTTGCAAATTGTACTTGACCAGATATAGCCTTTGCTAATAATCTACTTGCAAGATACAGCTTATCTCCTACGCGCAGACATCAAAATGGGATAAAACATATTTTTTGTTATCTCCAAGGTACGATTGATCTGAGTTTATTTTATCCTAGAAACCTCGAAGTTGGTCTAGTTGGTTTTGCAGATGCAGGATATTTATCAGATCCGCATAAAGCTCGATCGCAAACTGGATATGTTTTCACAGTTGGTGGAACAGCGATCTCGTGGCGTTCTCAAAAACAGACTTTGATCGCCACTTCTTCAAATTATGCGGAAATCATTGCTCTCCATGAAGCATGTAGAGAATGCATATGGCTCCGATCTATGACTCAACATATACAAGGTGCAAGTGGAATAGTCATGGATACGGAACCAACAAAAATGTTCAAAGATAATGCTGCATGTGTCGCTCAACTTAAAGAAGGTTTTATCAAGAGCGACAGAACAAAACATATTCCTCTAAAGTTT